TATTCTATTCTATTCTATTCTATTCTATTCTATTCTATTCTATTCTATTCTATTCTATTCTATTCTAATTAATCCAAGTGCAACTGCAGGGGGAAGAAGAACTGATGGAGTTAATTTTCTCTATTTCAGAAGCTGGCGTGAAACAGTAAAATAAAACTTGCCCTCAAAAACGGGTTTGTTTTTCAGCAGGAAACCATCATCCATTTATAAGAGAAAATAAAGGACTGTCCAAAGCAACCATCTGCAAAGTAGAGAAATCAGGTACCCAAACTCTCCTTGATTCTGAACCAGACCAACATGTTGCAGAAAAACGAATGCACTTCTCTTCTCCCAACCTACCTGAGATGTTGGTGGTGATCTCAGTCAGAGCTGTTTGACCAAAGCCCTTGCCAGTTCGTGCTCTTACTGAAAAAAGGTAGGTTGTCCCGGGATGAAGGTTGGAGAAAACATGATAAGTTTCATTTCGGAGCTTGGAGACGGTGCGTCGTGGGCCAGGCACATTGACTGCTGGGTCAAAGGATTCAATGCTCTGGTAGCTGATCTAGGATAAAGGGATATGCTTTAAGACATCATCAGAATGCAGAGATCGTGATTTATTTATTTATTTGCTTGTTTAATTTATATAGCCTCCCCCTCATATAAACTGTTCCAGATATTGCTTCAACCAGGAACAGATATTGCAACACAGTACGAAGAATAATAATAATAATAATAATAATAATAATAATAATAATAATAATAATAATAATAATAATAATAATAATAATAATAATAATAATAATAATAAATCTTTGCACACAGGATTCTTCTTCCTGATGCTGATTTTTCTACGGGCAGGGTATTATTTGTCAAAGGGGAATATTCCATCAAAAGCAAGAATCTGCAAAGGATCCAGAGTGGCTCTCGGCCAAGCTAGCTGATCATCACAGCAAGAGATGGAGAGAACGTTCGGATACAGCCAGAAAAACAGCTTGCATTCTGCCGTCGAGACAATAGACTTGGAAAGAACTATAAAGTTGCCTTTAATCTTCAAGACTATTAAAGAAAAAAGAAGAAGAATAAAAGGCTTCCTGAATTACAATAGAGGCTATGTCAGTTCTCCGAGAGACAGCCTTCAGCCTGGCGGGGAAGAGCTGTGCAGATAAGCATCAAGCTTTCTCAGTCTGCAGTTTCCGCGCTCCAATAATTTTTGTTGATGCCAGAGAGGGCAAAGGCATGGGATAAAAAGCCGAATGAGGGAAGGGAGGTTTTGCCTGGCTGCGTTTGGGAGAAGCCAAAACACACGCAGAGACAGGCCTATTCAAAAAACTATCTGACGACAATAATGAAGCAAAGAAAAGCCTCTCCATTCGGCACCTGGCTGAGAATAACAGAAAAGCCAATCAATTATTGCCGGGCTTGCCTGACAGACAAAGCCCACACCAATCATTCTGCAAGTCCTTGAAACTGAAAGTCAGTTTCTGCCCACCTACCCAGGCCTTTACCTGGCATTACTGCTTAAGGGATCCCTTTTATGAGAAGGAACGGCACAATCTGAGGCTGGTGTGAAAAGGGGGATCAGCCTAGAATTCCTACGTTCACCCACAAGAGAATTATGTCCAACCCCCCTTGAGTGCCGTTGACCCTTACCTAACTAACCAGACGCCAACTATTAGCTGAAATCATTCATGTGCATAGGATTTATTATTTTAGCAATAAGGTAAAGGCATGTGCTAGTTGTTCCCAATTCTAGGGGGCGGTGCTCATCTCCGTTTCAAAGCCAAAGAGCCAGCGCTGTCCGAAGACGTCTCCGTGGTCATGTGGCCGGCATGACTCAACGTCAAAAGTGCACGGAACGCTGTTACCTTCCCACCAAAGTGGTCCCTATTTTTCTACTTGCATTTTTTATTTGCTTTCGTACTGCTAGGTTGGCAGAAGCTGGGACAAGTAACGGGAGCTCACCCCGTTACACGGCACTAGGGATTCAAACCACTGAACCACCAACCTTTTGATCAACAAGCTCAGCTTCTTAGCCACTGAGCCACCGCATCCCTGCATTTTAGCCATAAATCAGTTTAATTGAATCTTCACATGTAGACCTAAATCTTTTGCACCTGACATTTCTGGAATTCAACATTCAGAAAAGACTCATCATAATTGGCTCCCCGCCCCCCACCCAAATTTTGAATAGTTTGGAGAACCGGCAAGTACCACCTCTCCCTGGCCCCAGAGTGGGGTGGGAATGGAGATTTTGCAATATCCTTCCCCCAGGAGTAGGGAGGGAATGGGGATTTTGCAGTATCCTTCCCCTGGAGTGGGGTGGGAATGGAGATTTTGCAGTATCCTTCCCCTGCCACATCCACCAAGCCACACCATGCCCACCAAGCCATGCCCACAGAACCGGTAGTAAAAAAATTTGGATTTCACAACTGCCAATCACTTACATTTACTGCAGCCTACGTCAGATCTTCTTCCAAGAACTTAGCTATAGCCATTTTAATACTGTGTTTAGAAACTAGGCTTGGAGGCCCCTAAATTCAAGTTTTCATTTATTTCTGAAGTTCCTGGGGGACGGGGAATGGGGGAGGAACAAAAGACCTCCCAACCTGCAGCCCTTATCCCAATGTGCTGGGATACCAATCCCCAGAATTCCCCAGTCACCAAGTAGGGTCGGTCTTTTGTCCTTGCAGAGTTTTTCTGTTTTACTTCTTTCCCACAAAGCTGTTTTATGCCCTTGAAAAGGTATTAACTTTCTCTTTAAAACAAAGCAAAATCAGGAGGGACAAAAATACTATCTTATTCAGCTAAGTATATAGAACTGAAAAGTGGGTAAAAGATTTGCATGTTTCTTCAATGAGTGCAATTTGGTATGGTAACCCTCTATTGATGCCATTACTTGGGTATGTTGAATATCCGTGGTGCATGGATAAGAGGTTTGATCATGTTATGTTTATTGTTGTTATTGTTTGTTGTTGCTGTTTTAAAAGCTCAAATGAGCAATGACAGCTGGCGAAAAGAAAACTTATGAAGCATTGCTTCTGATCCCAAATTGGTTCACAATTCTTCAGAAAGACTGCTTGATAAAAGGAAAAAAAAAAAGAAAGACAGAAGGCTGCAATAGTTTCTTTGTCTACCTACCCATTGACACAAAATAAAATATTTAATTAAACTGGTGCTCTAATATGTAGGCAATTTTTTATAAATGTAAATTCCATTCCAGCTTGACTTCTGATGCCTTTATAAACATGCCCAGGTAGTCTTCTTGGCCAACAATACAAAAGTACTTTGCCATTGACTTCCTCCAATATCCTTCTTCATCTCCCCTGGGATTTTCTGTCAATTGGCCATTCACGTAGTGACCACATCCAACTTTACTTAGCTTTATAAGATCAGTCAAGGTCAGTCTGTACTTTACTTAACTGGAATGTAAGATACGTATATGCACCCAAGGCAGTAGCATCCTATTAAAACTGGCATTCTCTCTTACCTTTCATTTAGCACAGAGCGTCTCTCCTGAGATCATCATTGTTATAGCATATGCATGTGACATCTCTAAGCAAGAATTCACTTATACTTCCAGGCTATTGTTCATCCTCATAGAAAATGTCAATTAATGCATTAACAAGAACCTCTTTTTTTTCTGACTTTGGCAGAAGGATAAGCGAGATAAGGCACAATATCCATTTCCCCAAAATGATCTTACGGCATACCTCATATTGTGTTATGAGACCATTGGGTTCCACCGGCTCTTCCCATTTCAGAAAAATCATGTCCTCTAGAGGGGTGAATGTGAGGGATTCTGAAGCTATGCCTCCAGGGACTTGAATGAGTAGATCGAAGAAAGAAGAAGAGAGAGGAAGAAAAAAGAATCAGAACACATTTCTTGCTCCTAAAATCAACAAGCAATGAAGGAACATAAAATGAAACTAAAACTGGGAACATCATGAAAAGAACCTTAAACCAATCCTGGGGGTGTTCAAAATTGCATCTCAGTTTACCTGTGGTAAATGAGGGCTATTTACTCATCTTGAATCCAAGCCCCCAAATCTATGCCTTTTTCATATTTTTTCATGAACAGGCTTCAGAAGATGAATTTTGGAAATGCATTTGCTGTGTTCAACTTTATTGATTTATGCATTATATCAATTTATACAGCCACTCATCTCAAATATATGATTCTGAGCCACTCACAAGCCATTAAAAGCAATATAAAAACAGCAAAACAATACAAAAATTCTCATTTAAAAACAATAAAGATTCTTAAAAACATTTTTTAAAAAAGCAGGCACCAAAAATCAAGCGTAGCCAAGGTGAGTGGATTTTCAACTTCATTGTACAGAACTGAGCGTATAACATTTTTTCACATTTAGATACTGTCATATCTTCAACTCCAGACATTTTGCAAGGTTTTAGACACGGAAAGATACGCATTTCAATTTAGCACTGATGACTGTCTAAATCATGTGCATTCAATTCTTCCATTCCATTGTCTTTAAAAAAAATTAAGTAAAATTGCACATATTTTTGTGTGATGCTTCCCATTAGAGGTATAGCTTTAATATGCCATTGAATTTTCCCCCCCAAAGGTGCTTTTTCAAAAGGCAACTGGACTTTCTTTGTTTTCCTTGAAGACGTTTCACTTCTCATCCAAGAAGCTTCTTCAGTTTAATTCTTCAGTCAGAACTGAAAAAGCTTCTTGGATGAGAAGCGAAATGTCTTCAAGGAAAACCAAAAATAGTCTAGTTGTCTTTTGAAAAAGCACCTTTGGGACAACTATGACCTGGATGACTGAGAATCTCCATAGACAAACTTTCCCAATGTTTACTGATTCTTCATTCAGCTTTTTTTTTTCTCTAATGCATACAGGTAGTTCTTTCTCTACATACGACAATTGAGCCCAAATTTTACATTGGCAATCAAGACAGTTAAGTGAATTTTGCCCCATTTTACAACCTTTCGTGCCACAGTTGTTAAGTGAATCACTGCAGTTGTCAAGTTAGTTGCATGGTTATTAAGGGGATCTGGCTTCCCCATTGACTTTGCTGATCAAAGGGTCACCAAATGTGATCGCATAACCCCAGGACACTGCAACCATCATAAATACATGCCAGTTACCAAAGCATCCAAATTTTGATCACATGACCATGGGGATGCTGCAAGGGTCGTAAGTGTGAAAAAGTTTTCAGTGCCACTGTAACTTTAAACGGACACTAAATGAATGGTTGTAAATTGAGGACTACCTGTACATATTGAGAGGGTGATGAGCTTCTGTTGATCTTAAAGAGACAGAGATCCATCCTCTCCAGGGATGAAATGCTCCCGGTTTGGACCAGATTGCCCTATCAGGTAGCGATGGCGGCGGCCGGTAGCAAAAATCCCTGCCCCCCCATGCCCAGCTGAGCCACACAATCATCAGAGGCTTTTTGTTTTTTACTTTTAGAAGCATTTTTTCTACAACCTCTTCAGCTGAAAAAATGCTTTTAAAAGTAAAAAACAAAAAAAAAAGCCTCTGATGATCACGTGGCTCAGCTGGGATCATCAAAGGCTTTTAAAAGCATTTTTTCTACAACCTCTTCAGAGCGAAGAAGTTGTAAAAAAAATGCTTTCAAAAGGCTCTGAGGATCTTTCCCAAGTCTAGTTTAATGAACAGAAGGACTAGGGGAGACATGATAGCAGTGTTCCAATATCTTAGGGGCTGCCCCAAAGAAGAGGGAGTCAAGATATTCTCCAAAGCTCCTGAGGGTAGGACAAGAAGCAATGGATGGAAACTAATCAAGGAGAGAAGCAACTTAGAACTAAGAAGAAATTTCCTGACAGTTAGAACAATTAATAGGTGGAACAACTTGCCTGCAGAAGTTGTGAATGCTCCAACACTGGAAGTTTTTAAGGAGATGTTGGGTAACCATTTGTCTGAAGTGGTGTAGGGTTTCCTGCCTAAGCAGGGGGTTGGACTAGAAGACCTCCAAGGTCCCTTCCAACTCTGTTATTCTATTCTACAATCTGTTTGTATATTACTTTGGAGTTCAGCTATTATGGTAACATGCTCAGGACATTATGATTATTGCAATGGAATATCAGGTGGATTCTGCCATTTCAAGCAGAACCTCTATGGTGATTTTCTTTTCATATCATTAAATCAAGTGGAGCCGAGACATTGCTGACAGTGTAATAGGACAGTTTGCATCTTCCAAATAGGGGGCTTGTTCACATACCCCGTTTCTCTTACTGGACTTTTGAGATCCCCTGAACAAAAGATCATTTTAAAACTATGCATGGATCATTTGTTTATTTAATGCAAGTTTGGAATGTCTCCTGAAGATGATGTTCATATAAAAATAATAAGAGTAATCATACATCAGAGTGTGAAAAACAAAATTGGAACTCAGCCAGGCGAGCAAAGCTATATACTAAGCATATAAAATCAACATTAACCGTCAGAAATTCAATGGCATCTCTTTGGCTGAAAAAAGAAGAAGAGAGGAAAATAACTTACATTTCTCTAGGGGAAAAAGCAACATAACCCCCATGCTTGTACTCAAAATATAAGTGGTTCATAAACTGGAAATTAAAAGAAGGCTGTAACCTTATAGTGGTCTTACTTGAAAATTAATTCAATCGAAATCAATAGAACTTACAGTACTTCAAAGTGAGCATGTTTAAACTGAAAACATTTATGGGAAATAAAGCCATAAAAAAAAACAATGAAAAGAACTACTTGAAGATCTTTGAGCTTTTTTACTACTTATTTACCTTAGGGCTGTGCCAAACAGTACATTTGCATGAGGAGAGTGTCCCCTACTATTCTAATTCAGTTTCATTCAAAATAACTTATTTATTTAATCAATCAATCCATTTGTATAGTTGTCCATCTTAACAATGACTCCGGGTCCCTAACAATATTTCAGGTGGAATCCTTGGTGCTCTCTGAGCTTGATTGTTTTCTTGCAGACATTTTATTACTAAACTAGGTAACATCATCATGTTCAGCACTGATGAAATTACATAGTTTGGTAATGAAATGCCTGCAAGAAAACCACCAGGCTCACAGAGCACCAAGGACTCCGCAGTTCAACCCTGAGCTACAAAAATTCTTTTCTATCAATATTTCAGGTTTCATTCCCACAATGGTGAATATATTGGTGAAATTTTCATGGGTGGACTATGACATTCTTGGACTTCCTTTCTAAAAGGTAACTGAGCACAGATCATCTTCTGGGAATTCGGAGCCTCCCTGACTTCATACAACTCCAGATATATCCTATGGGTGGTTACCATGACAGAATAGCTCCTATGAGCCATGGTGGCGCAGTGGTTAGAATGCAGTACTACAGGCTACTTCTGCTGACTGCCGGCTGACTGCAATTTGGCAGATCGAATCTCACCAGGCTCAAGGCTGACTCAGCCTTCCATCCTTCTGTGGTTGGTAAACTAAGGACCCAGATTGTTGAGGGAAATATCCTGACTCTGTAAACCACTTAGAGAGGGCTGTAAAGCACTGTGACGCAGTATATAAGTCTAAGTGCTATTGCTATTTTCCTTCCTTCCATCCCTCCCTCCCTCCCTCTCAGTGGTTAGAATGCAGTATTCCAGGCTAACTCTGCCGCCTGCCAGCAGTTCGATCCTGACCGGCTCAAGGTTGACTCAGCCTTCCATCCTTCCAAGGTCGGTAAAATGAGGACCCAGATTGTTGGGGGCAAGATGCTAACTCTGTAAACCGCTTAGAGAGCGCTATAAAAGCACGGTGAAGCAGTATATAAGTCTAAGTGCTATTGCTATTGCTATAGAATTTCTTCAGACAGAGAAGAAGAGGCTTGGAAATTGTAAGAGGATAGATCACAAGAAAAGAAAACTTTTATGTTTCCATCTCAGTAAAAAGCTCCCTTTTTACAACTTATAAACTCTTAATTCACAGTAGAGTCAGGGCGACTGGATGGAGCTGAGCATTTACTGACCAGATGCCCTTCCTTATGCCACATGGAGTTTACAACAAGTATTTTTTTTCTTTGTGTCCTGAAAGAGAAGCAGTGATGTGTCTCAAAATTTTTTACTACCAGTTTTGTGGATGTGGCTTGGTGGGCATGGCATGGCATGGCATGGCTTGGTGGGCGTGGCTTGGTGGGCATGGCAGGGGAAGGATACTGTAAAATCTCCATTCCCACCCCACTCCAGGGGAAGGATACTGTAAAATCTCCCTTCCCTCCCCAATCCAGGGGAAAGTTACTGCAAAATCCCCATTTCCTCCTGATCAGCTGGGACTTGGGAGGCAGAGAATAGATGGGGGCGGGGCCAGTCAGAATTTTTACTACCAGTTCTCCAAACGACTCAAAATTTCCACTACTGGTTCTCCAGAACTGGTCAAAACCCGCTGAAACCCACCTCTGGAGAGAAGCATCTGCCACTACATAGGTGTTCTGCCCCAGCTCTGGATTTCCGAGGATATTGACACACACCAATGGTCCTTATCAAATTTATTAAGTAGCAAGAATAAACCAAAGTCCGGCAAAGATTGGCAACCAGCCCAGAAAACAAAATACGATAAGACTTTTCCAAAAAATGCTCTGATGATAATTACAAGTTGTTTCCAGCAAGAAACTTACTAACGGTGTGTGACTTAAATAGGCTAAGGGAGTGGCCAATTATCCTCAATCCTTACTCTCGAGGAGACCTCCTCCTCCTGAGTAGCCACTCCTGCCTTTTGGTAGCCCTGCGTGCTTGAGCACTGAGAAGAGGCTCCTCCACTTCGCTCTCTCCACCTGAAGGAGCCCCTGGAGGTTCTGAAGGCCCTGGCTGAGTCTCTGCCTCTGGCACCACATCCTCTTC